TGGGGTTTCCGGAGCAGCAACACCGGTATCACCGGGGAGCTTGTTAGAAATGCAGACCCCCAGGCCACACCCAAGACCTGCTGAAACTAGGGATGGGGCCAAGCAATCTGTTTTCTGTTGTTTTTTAGAGACAGGGTCTCCCTCGTTGCCCCAGGCTGGAGTGCAACGGCTTGATCATAGCTCACTGCAACCTCCAACTCCAGAGCTCCAATAATCCTCCTGCCTCAGCCTCCTGAGTAGCTGGAACTACAGGTGCCTACACCCAGCTAATTTGTTAAATATTTTTTTTTCGTAGTGATGAGGTCTCACTATGTTATCCAGGCTAGTCTCAAACTCCTGGACCTCAAGCAATCCTCCCATCCTGGGAATACAGTTGTGAGTCACCACGCCTAGTCTGCAATCTGGTTTAACAAGCCTTCCAGGTAACTCCAGTGCATGCTAAAGTTTGAGGACTTAGGCTCCAGCGAAGTATTTGGTTCTCTACCCAACCTGCATCATCCGTCGGTTTCCATTAGATTACAGACACTCTTCAATTCAACAAGTAGGTACGAAATGCCCCCTGTGCACTAGCTCTCATCTATATTGTCACTGCAATTGTGGACGGGCATTTTGTTTCTCTTATCTTTTCTAAGGATTGTTTGCAGATACATAAGAAAGCTGATGACGCTGATGAGTCGCAATTGTGTTTAAGTTGACTTTCATGGGCAGGCAACACAACGGCATCTGACAGTGACCAATTTGGGGTTTGATTTTCCATTATCAGATTGATTTACTTTTCTGGTCTTACGGCATTTCTTTTGAATGACTAGAAATGATGTTAAATAATAATGATAACAGCCAGTTTATTTTCCCCTTTCTGCTTTTTGTCTGTTGCTGTTGTTGTTTTAAAGGTTTACTGATGGATCTTGGTTTAACACAGCTAGCAATATACTTCTTTTCTGCATGGCAGAAATTCATTCTGTTCCCTTCCCTTCAATGGCTGCTAAATTTTATTAAACAAATTTTAGTTCACGTTAAAACTCTGATTTTTTTCCACATTGCTCTATTCATGCATATACTTTGTTATCCAGTTTTCTGATATTAAATGGTTTTTTGCATTCATATGACGAACATTTATTAGTAATGGAGCGTGTCATCTTATCAAACAGATAACTTCATTTTACTCCCTTTTCAGGCTTTTGCACGTACAGCGAATGTGAGATTAACTCATAGATTTCTTGTTTGTGTTATATACAGTCCTGTTTGGTCCCAGACATCATTCGGCTTTCTGTGCTCTTTGGGTACAAAGCCCTGGGGAAATCAGAATAAAGTAAAATGTTCTCAGATGTGATTTGGACTTGTGTGGTTTATGAATCAGTAGCAAGGGGACACAGATGTGAATCAAATAATTCCACATGTAAATGCAAAAGCATGCCTATGATTCGTGCAATGAAGAAAATATAGATTAGAAGGCACAGACTAGGGAGATTGTACTTGGTGGGCCAGGGTGGGGGTGAGCGAGGAAGGCTTCTCTGAGGATGTGATGTTTGATCTGAGAGCTTAGGACAGGAAGTATCCCCGGAATGCAAAGGTGCCAAGGGAGGGGCAACCCAGAGGAGGGAATCACTGTATTTTTAGGACTCCTGAGAAGGCAACAGTGTTGCAGCTTAAAGGCTGCTCTGTTGCTTGATCAGACCCAAGGGTTGGCAGGAACCAGCGTGTGCAGGTCCTCGTGGACCACAGCGAGTAGTTCACCCTCACACAGAGGGAAAGCCTCTTACAAGGGCTGGATGGATGACATAGGTGTGATGTTGGTGACGATTTCTTGTCCACCTGATTTCTCGTTATTTGTATATTCTGTTTTCTTGAATTAGATATCTAGTTCCCTTGGGGAAAAAAATGTCCATGTCTGTGAGTTTTACATTTTAACATCCACTTGTACACAATAATCGCTACTAATTAATAATGTTTCCTCCATGTGTCTTGAAGGTTTCTTCTCATTTTCTGCAAATGTATTTGTGCTTTCTTTTTCTCTTTCTTTTTCTTTCTTTTTTTTCCCCCCACAATGGGCTAATCAGATGTTTGCATGTTTCATTGACCTTAATTCCAGAAATATGTTCTTGTGTTCTGACTCAATTCTCTTTGATTTTTTTTTGTGTGTGTGTGTAATTAATTTATACTTTATTGTTACCTTTTCTCTGACAGTATATGAGATTGTTATTTCAATCCTCACTTGACCAAACCAGGTATTATTATTTTAAAATGGAATCTCTCTTTGTCATAGTTGAGAATGATACTTCCATCTCAATTCAGTTTCGACTTCTATGATTATTATTAGTAAGCGTGGACAATTCACTGTTTCATTATTGATTTTAATGTTTGGTTTTAATTAGGACCGTTTCATTATTGATTTTAATTAAAACTGTGTTTATTATAGATATTAATATTTCTCTGTCATATAGATTCTACATAGTTATTTTCATATTTCTTTTTCTTTTCTTAATTGTACATATTCATGGGGTACATTTAATGTATAATGATAATATCAGGGTAATTAGCATTTCCATCATCACAAATATTTGTCATTTCTTGTGTTGGGAACATTCAATATTCTTCTTCCAGCTATTTAAAACTATGGTATTATATCATTGTTAATTATAGTCATCCTAC